CCAGGCATCTAGCCTAAAAATATATTTATATGTTAGAACATCTTTTAATGCAGCTGGTAAGTCGACAATTTATTTTTATCATCAAATAATTGGTTGCAAACAATAATTCAATTTCATACTTATTTAAATTGTATTGATGGCTTATTTATAGATACTGAAGATAATAGTTTTTTTTAAATTTAAATTTGCATTTTATTTTAAAATAATTATAGCAAAGCGATTACAAAAAAAAGATAATAGTTATAGTTAAATAATTGTCATAATAATAATAATGTATACTTTTTTATTAAAATAATAATTAAAAATATTTACACCTAAAACATTGTGCATAATGATCAATTCTAGCAATCTTACCAATATATGTATAATATAATAGAGTACAGTTTTTAAATACTTTCATTTTACATATTTGACAAATTCATGAATAAGGAAAAAAACTTGTCATTCAAACTTAACAAAAAAATTAAAATATAATTTCTTATAATAAATATTCTAGTATTATAAACATAGATGAAACGATTTTGTATCTAGTATGGTTTTTCTCACTATACTACTATATTACCTTTATTACCTTATACAAAAAAAAAGGAAATGCCTATAGCAAGAATTGCAACATTTTCTAACTTTTCGAGCCAATAACTACTTGATTTTTTATTTCCTGTATGATATTAAATTATGAAAAACATTATAATATATATTTATGTATAAATAAGAAAAAAATTGTTTATTATTAAAAATAAAATTTAATACAATTAGTATTTAAATTTTTTGCATGCCATCACTGACCTACATATACCAACCGAATTCATATATAGCTATAACATGGTTAGGTGAGCAAAAGCGATTGGTATAAGCAGGTACTTTCTTAATTCTTAGTACATGGTTGTAATATTTAGTTAAGAACTATGGGGTATGGATATATAATGGATATACATATATAATATAGGTATATCTACCAATAATAATGTATAGAATAATGAAACTACTATCGAAAATATCCATTATGTATTATTTTACATTTTTGAGCGACTGTGAGACGTGTGGGAGTACCACTGCACCAGGATACGTTTTCGGACATTATAGTCTTTAGAGTCACCAGTATAATTTTAAAAGGAAATTATTTATACAAATATTTAAACGTAATGCTAACTGGTAATCAATATAGTCATAAATAATTATCGTATTTTAAGACCATAAGTAGTAGTAGGTAATACGGAACCGTATTAAAAGATTACAGTCGATCGTACTTTAAGAAGAAAAATATAGGAACATTAATATATGACGGTATTTCGGTGACTTGTCAGTGTGTGACAACCGACGAGTAAATAACATTAGTAGGTACTCTTATTTAGTCTGAATATTTTATCGACCGTATTCTTAGTTTCTTTTTGATCGGTGAACATCATCTGTACGCGCAGGTCAGTGGAGACGGAGTAGGTGTACCTATACCTACACCTACCTAGACATTTTTTATTGTGGGAGTGGGAGGGGGGATATTTTTTAATTATTTCTACGATTATACCCCCATAATAATACAATACTAAGTATACTATTATGTATTATATATAGTGATACACAATAGATACTATGTATCACTAAAAAATGTTATATAATAACAAAATATTAAGGTTTAAATGTGATATTTATTTATTGAGCATTACAGAATTAAAATAAGCTCATCACAAACATTTAAGTAGACTTACTTACATTAATCAAAACGACATAAAGCCATAACTCATAAGGTATGCGAGATACTAAAATATTATAAGCTTATTATTATCACCTAAGAAACTGTAAGATAGTTAGATGGATTTTAATTTTGAAACCAAATCCTGATTTTTCTTTTTTCTTCCTTATGGTATCGATGACGTTTCCGGAACTTCTTGCGAATTATTTCGGCAATCGACGTGATTAAAGAGATTAATTGTACAAGTTTATTATGTCTTAATCGGAGAGATTTCCAATAGGTATTTGTTTTTTCAACTCATATATTAGTATCATCGATCGTCAAAATGGAATTTTGTGTTATGGCCATATATACCTTGTTACCTTCTAGTAACTACTATCTAGTTTAAACTTTTAAAGTCCATATTCTCTATGATTATAACTTATTATAATAAATATAGAAAAAATACTGTTATTAAGATCAGTGATAATAATATATCAGTTGAAAAAACCAAATATATTGAAAAACGCATCGGTTAAACATAGTATAAATACTCGTCAGTGAATCAAAATCTGTCATTTAAATGAACATCTAACCAAAATCCTACAGTTTTGAAAGGCGATATTTAAGTCCAAATCCTAATTTTTATATAATTATATAATAAAAGCAGTTTTTTTTAACAAAGCATTAACAGCAAGTGTATCTATATAACCGATCATTTTATAAAATTTTAAAAAACGTTTTACTTACATATGATGACACATCATGCAAGTATCAAAATAATATCTTACCTTAAACCATGTCTGCAGACCGCAGGTGTCTTAGTGTCTAATACTTTAAATCTATTATCGCGTTCAAAAAACGTAAGAATATTATCAATATAGGTTCCCTAATAATTTGGATCCAGGGATCAGCTGTTTCGGTCTTCAATACTTATCTCTAATACATAGTGTACCTTGTGTCTTTTTTATTAAGAGCTACAAGATACATATTATTTTTCAATATTTTTTTCTCGGTTATAATAATCGAATGAATAGCATTATGTTGTATGTTATTAGTGACAAAGTTATATAACTTTGGTCGAATAATTATTAATTATTCAACCAAAAACTTTTTATTAATTATAACACCGCCAGCCTTTATTCTTCAGATCCCCTTGAGCGTCTTTCGTCACTGCAGAATTTCCACTTTTGCACCCCTCCCTCTTTAACCGGAGATGGAGGGGGAACTAGTTTTCTATTGGTTCCCTGAAATCTTCACCTAGACCAGTGGTTCTCAGTCGATGGTACGGGGAAAGCTCATAATTGGTACTTGGCCCGTGACATGACATTGTGGAAAAATTTTGAGTGACGATTAATAATTTAAATTATGTAGGTATTAAGATTTAATACATTACGTTTTGTGACACACGTACGATAATCACTATTGGCCTAGTTATTATAGCACTAATGCGGGTTGTATATATTTACGAGTATATCTGTAAAGATCACGATTTTATTTCAAGTGGTTGGCACATTTTAAAAATGTGTAGGTTGTACCGGAGTATAAAAAGGCTGAAAACCGCTTACCTGGACGATCAACGATGTCAATTGAAATATTCAAAAAAATATGTTAAATAATCATGTTTTCATTATTCAAAAATATTAAAAATAATAAATATCCTGTTTAGGATCTGTAAGCATTGATAAATGAATAAAAATTAAATTAAATTTAGTTATGCATTATAATTAGGTATATGTTTAAATGATGTAATAACTGTAATAGCCAATAACTTGAAAGTAATAACATTAAACTGTCTGTGTAATATTACTATGTAGATAACCAACTACATTGGTGTATGATCATTATCATCACATCATTAATATTAAAATGTTTTTATTTGCATAGGTAATAAAATACGTGTAAACAAAATATCTAAAGTAGATTCGTATAAACACTATACGTATGTGCCATTCATAAATTTATTGATGACATTGATACGATGGCGCCTAAAGTATAGGTAACTATATTTTACCAACTGGTTCAATTTTTAAAATTATGAGATCACCACAAAAAATATTATACTCTGCTAAATGGTATCATATTATATTCATCGTACAACTCATAATAATTATTATTATCAACAATAAAGTTAATTATTCCAACCCACGGTTTTTCAATTGAACCGAGTGAATGTATAGCATCTTCGGCGCACTGCTGTGATTTGTTTGTACATAATGTGTTAAATATATTTAAATATATTTAAAAACATTTTGATGTGAAGCATCTAATGCGGCTGGTCATAGCTGTTGGCGTGGCGATGCGTCACCACACCGGTAAAAAGCGTCTAATTCGTCTTTAAAATAAAGAATAATTTTTCTTAAAAAATCTGAATATTTTGTGTTTGATTATGCCATGTTTCTCTCTTTTAATAAACCTTTTACTTGACGTCGATTTTTCACTACTGCTAGACGGCTCGCTATTTTTTTCAAGCATTTCGCGTCTTATACATAATATTATACGGATCGTATTATCATCAATATAATAATTAGTACAGACGTACAGTATATACCTCACCTAACCTGGTACACTGTATCTGTTAACCTAATACACAATAGTGTTTTGTGCAGTATGTCCTAAAAGTCCCGTATCACCCTTATTAGTACCTCCGTGGAAAATCAATATATTTAAATGCAGTTTTTTTTACAGTAACAAATATGGAAATTCTGATTGGGTGGATTGAGATTCGATTTTTTTTTCAACAATCCAAAAACTATTGAAAAAATTTTTTATACAATCAAGTTTCATACATTTTCAAGATAGTCATTTTGTTGATCATATTTAGTAAAACACTTCAAAAAAAAAAAAAATTCTAAGAATAATATAGTCAATAACATTATATTAGCCAGATACGAATCGTATGCTTTGATCAAACCCGATCGAAAACGATGATTTCTTCTGGACAATCTGTAAACATCTAACTGTCGATCGATTGAGGGGCATCGATTAAAAAAAAAAAAAAAAACATACCTATATAGCAGGTGTATCTGAAAACGAGATACGATGGTAACGAGCACTAAGTGAGCGTGAACTACAGATTTTTCGTGCACCCGTCTCGAGTGCTGGTCGAAAAGAAAAGGCGATCATAATAATAATAATAATAATATTATAATAATAATTATGATAATAACAATGCGTACGCCTACCGTGCAAGCGTAGTACTGCGCCTAATTGAGACACCGTTGGCGGCGTGTGGAGGGAAAAGAGTCGCGCCGTAGCGTGCGGCGGCGTTAGTGTCGCACGCGTCGGGGAAAACCTCTTTTTCGAAGAGGTGCCACGGACACGCGTGCGGAAAGCAGTCGTGTGAGCAGTTGGCTGACCGACAGCGACGGGGACGTTTGTCGTGCGGTGTAGTCATGCCCGTCCGGTGCTGAGCGATCGACGTGCGGTCCACGTGGGTTTCGCGTAAATTAAAGAAAACCACCATGCCGACGTTCATTCGCTGTCCGATGGCGGACGTCCGCACATCGTTTTGAACGCAGAAAAAAAAACTATAAAAACGGAAAACAGTTATCGCATTTTTGATGTAAAAAAAAAAAAAATAATAATAATACTATTATGTTAACAACGGAACGACATTATTCTCGTTTGAATTTGCTCGAGTTTTAATTCTATCAGAAAGTTTTATTGTATCGTAATATTAATTTCCTACCGTATACATTTTGTCGACCGTTTATTAAATTTCGTTTGAACTGAGTAGTACTAATATTATTGTAGTCCACTCACTGACGTTTATGTATACTGCATTGTGCAATTTCATTATATTACCTTATTATGCAATTATAACTGAGTTATTTAGTGAAGAATTTAATTTTAAAATTACTCAAATTATTTAAATTCAATAAAACGGTTATTAGCAACGTTACTCGAATAAAATTATGCGGATATACTGCCAATGGCATATCCGAGAGCAGTCGATGAAATAGCTGGTTAATATAATGACGACGACCTAAATTTTTACTTCCGATTGTAATAGATGACAACTACTTTGAATTATTCATTCTGAGGCACTGCTATACTATATAGGTAAGCTAAAAATTATGGACATAATTAAATATATAACATTATAATTATATTATAAAAAATTACGTAGAAATGTTTTACGTTATTTTTCTTGCGTTCGCCTATTGTAGATTAATTTTTAGCTATAAGCCTTACAAATTGTATCAATAAAATTTTTGTCTTAATCGCATATAAATACTGCTATCGTGTTGAAGAAATAAGAAATAATTTAGATTAGATTTCATTAAAATCATATTATAATGATCAACCATAATAATTTTTGGGTAATAACCTAATTTCAATAAATTAATTAGGTATTTGAGTATTTTCTTAAATTTGAAATTATTTCATTTGAGTTGCTAAAATTATCTCAATACATTATTATTGCACTACTATTTACTAAACATCCTATTTTTGGTACAACTCTAATATGTATTTCTACAAAAGCTGATTTATTTATTAACTAAAATTAAATAAGAAATTGACTAATCAACTAACCAAGCTAGTAATAGTTCATTAGAATATAGTTCGATACATCGATGATAATAAAATTGTTTATCTGTCTTGTGTACCTAGATATTATACGCTTAAATTTTAATTTAAGAATATTGATTTAATACAATTTAAAAGATACTCCTTACAAACAAACAAATTTTAAAAATCCCAAAAATTAACGTTAACATAATTTCCAAAATGTTTTGAACTAGGTAAATGTATTTCAAGTATTTTTGATATTAAAACATTTATAATAACTATAAACATGTATACAGATTCCAAACACTGGCTGAATATTTACTTACTTATATTTTTACTATTTTTCGATTAAAATTGTCTGACATACATTTATCATGCCGTCAGTACAAACGAACTTATAAAATGTAAAACAAAAACGCGCGTGTGACACGCCGCGTATCATACTCGTGGCTCTAAAACGGACTTTAGGACCTATGTTGACCTATTATTAAGGTTTAATAATTGTTGTAAATATGTTAGTTGGGTATATTTTTAACTTTAATTCTTAACTCAGGGTGAATCAAAAGTTGTTTTATTTTAATTCTTCATTCACAGTTTATATTAAAAAGGCTTTCAACTTCGTAACACGGCATATAAGCATTACCATTATACTAGTTTACTACAGTAGTACAGTATACTACATATATCTACTATAGTATATTTACTGAGAGTAGAATACACATGGTACCTAATCGTTTTCTTGAATGTGGTGATTTATTATTACTTGAGATGAGTGCTTAACATCAATGTTTCAGTATAATTCAGTTTTTTTTTAAATATACATTTTAAACGCAGCATTAGGTTAATTGAACTATATATTCAGCCATATCGATACTAAAGTAACACAAATCGTTGATAAAATTGATATGCATTTTTAAAATAATTGTGGAGTATCATTTTTTACATTTTTAAATTCTGAGTATTTTCACTATGAAAGTGTTCACGACAGTGGTAGTTGGTAAGTGAATTATTGGATTAAAAATTGGTTCCTTTATTCAAATGTTATGAAACTTATGATTATTTTTGACTATTTAGTGGAAGATTATGACTTGCATAGTCTTTTTTTAATAGTTTGTTAATTTGCTTAAAAAATTATTTTAATTGTGTAATTTAAGGTAGGTAGGTAGGCACTAAAAGTTGTAATATTCATCCAAGTTTATTAATCATAATATAATGTTCTAATTATGTTGATACATTTCTACTACTTATGAAATACACAAATTCAACTGAATGTTTTAAAGTTAAATTTGTCCATAGGGTTCATTTGTGTTGATCAACTTAATTATTTAAACAGCGAATACAACCTTTATTTGCTATTACTAAAGCTCAGCTAAAAAGTTTTCAGATGTAAAGCTCCTGATGTTTTGTTTCCATTTTTTAAAATACGTTTGAAGTTAACATTGACGGTTTTTTAATTTTTGTTGATATAGCTTAGCAAAATAAATGATAATATATTATAATGTATAAAAAAATAACTGTTTGGTTACTAGTAAAAATTTTAACACTACTTAGTTTTTACAACTTTGAGACATAGAACTAGTTTTAACCATAACGTTATTTGGAATGTTAAGTAAATAAAACACTAACTATAATTTAATTATAAGGGATTAATTTCACCATATGAATATAATTTAGAATAAACCACATTGAGTTCAGAACTGGTTTCCCGATATTTGTATTCAAATCTGGAACTTAATTTTATTGTTAATGCGGGTACCTATATATTTTATAACTTGTTTGTTAGCATTTATTTGGAAATTAAAAGTAGTTTATAGACAATTTTAAAACGTCAATCGAGCATGACATTTCTTTCTGTGGCCAATCTATAAAAATAATACCTTTATAAAATATTTTATAACATTCAAGTAACCATAAATTATATGATGCTGAATAGTTGGCAGACGGCCAGACGATATTGTTGTTTTGATGGTTAGAGTAGTCTGTGTGCGAAAAAGAAACTTGTTTTACCAGAATGAATATATTAGAATTCCTTTTACCTAAGAGTATTTTAACTAGTAAAGAAATGTCGTTTGGAGAATAATAAAAATAAAATAAATTTGATCGTTTTGTTTACTTCTGACAGACTGTGATCATCATTAAGAATCGACTAATAAATAAATTTTGCCTTAGGTACAAGTGTTTATGTCAACGAACGACAACTGAAATTATAATTGATTCGAAAAATATTTTTTAATTGAATTTACTAGTCATAGTTGTAATAACATAGGTGTGTATTCTAAGTTTAGACTGCAGTTCAACTTATTTGCACATTTTTCTGCAGAGTTGATTTTTAAAGTCAATTACTTAACACTTTTGTTTTTTTCTAAATACATTGTGAACTAAGATACAATATATGTTAAGATAAGCACATTTTTGAATATTTCGAATGGATGTTTAATTTAAAACTTTTTGATTTATAAATTTTTTTTTTATTTTCACCAATAACATGTTTAAGGATATTTATTCCAGTAAACTTTGTTTAATAATACACAAAAGAACTAAAATAAATAGATGTACCTATTAGTCCTTTAGTCATTCAATACAATTACAGAAAAAACATCGCAGTTTTAGTAATGTAATTTCAGCAAATAGATAACAAAGAATCAACATAATTTTGTCAGGATTAGGAATGTTTTAGGTCATATTTTGAAGTTCTTATTGTATATTGCATGCATGCACGTCTGAGCGCTTTTAATCAGAAAATACTGTAGGTATATATTTTATAATTTGTTTTATTTAGTAAAAACTTTTACTTTAATACACGTCAAAGTGAGTACTGAATTAATAAGTAATAACTCTGCAAATTATAGAAATATTATTACCTATATTAAATAAACGAAATTACAGGGTTACTCAAATTTAAGGGCACAACCAATTTGTTGTCTAAACTTAAATAGTAGAGGAAATTGTTTTATGTTGAATTTTTAAAATATAGGTCAGTCTACTAAATAATTCAGTTCTAAAATGTTATTTTTCGGTAGATCAAGGAATCCGCTCTGAAAATATAAATAATAGTAAAATCTCTTTCGCATAAGTCGAATATACAGCCATGATTTTTAAATCAATTTCACGGTCGTTAATTAATAATAACTTATCATTAAGATTAAGGATACTTGTAGTTTAATTATTGGTACCTAACAGACAAGCAATTTGAATCTAATCGTTGTAAAATATAATTGTTGAAATTTACATTTTATCAAAATATAATATCATCAAAAATAAATTTAGTTTATTATAAATAAAATGTTCAATGGCTGTAAAAACAAAAAATATGAATTCTATTGATACATTTTTTGAAATATGTAATTAAATTATGCAGATTTTAGAAAAAACTAATTTGTAAAAATGTCTAATACTTTTGCTATAAAAAACGTTGGCATACAATTTGAGTGGGTAGACAATTTGTTTTAAAAAACAATTTTACAAAAATTCTGAAGGTTGAAAGTTTGAACAATTAGGTTTCATGGACAATTATCGAACAAGTAAATAATGAATACATTTTATTGAACTTATTACATCAAAGGAAGTAACAGATTTTAATTTTGTTCAACAAATGTCGGGGGAAAGGGGATGTTTAATATTCCAATGAAAGCACACTCATTTTTTTGGATAATAATATGTTTTGGATATAATAATTTATAGTCCTACACTCCTACCGATGTATATTGTACATACGCCGTGGTCTAACAAGTATTGAGTAGGTAGATAATTATGTTTTTTCGGAGATTGTATAGAATTGAAATAGCTGTCATTGAAATTACTGACAAAACGCGCATTTACTGTAGAAATAAGTGTGGATCCACTGTGTGGACTCCCATACTACCTCACCCTTATGTCTGTTGTTTTATTTTAAATCTATAAGAGCAAAAATAAAAGGAGCAGAGATATTGAAACTCAACTCTTTATCTACACGCCGCCGACACCCGTATAGTCGTATATAATATTGTAAATACCTACGTATATATGAAGGACAGATGTGCTTTTACAGCGTGATTGATGTGCTCATCGACATTATCCCAACGATCGTTATCGACGTTATCGTTATTCCTATTGGCTATTATCTATTGCTTGTGCGGTGCGTATATACATACCCTCGTCTATTGTTGTTCTTTGTTTACATGTACACTGGAATAATGTATTATATATATATATAATATAATATGGCACATACACATATAATATTATTATTATCGTCATCGTTATTATTATTATTATTATTATTATATCTTTACATCTGCATAATTGATTTAGTTGTTGTCTGTAACGCGTTTATATTGTTTTTAAATGTGTTGATGATAGTTGCGCTAAAGGGTTGGTCGTGGGCTCAGCCACTATACACGATTTTCTCTGCTATTAATGACGTTACATTATTATAATAATCACTGTCGGTCTGACGGTCTCCAACACACAAATATTTATATACATATAAACGTATATATATATGCGTGTATATGTACCGTGTACACACCGCTATATGTTTTATATACGCAACACACATTATATTATGTACATAAAAGCACACAGTGGGCACAGTACCTACTTGACATTCGAATGCGTGTGCGCGCATACGAGTATATTATTTGTGCGAGTGCTTATGTGTTTGTACCTACCTTTGCTGTATTCCAGTACATTTAGTATTATATTATAGTAGCGGCGACTCGCGCCACGTTTTAAATGCAATAATTGTTTATAGGTGTGTATGAATGTGTACTATGTATGAGTGTGTGTGTGTGTATGAGTGTGTGTGCGTGTGCGTGTGTGTGTGCGGGAGCGTACTTACCACTCACTTTAGAAAACCTCAGAGGGGCCCGCAGCATTGGAGTCTTTAAAGAAGGAAAAAAATCCTTATTGCTGCAACATATAGCTCTTTAAAACCCATCATCATTTTACCCTTTTTCTCCTGGTCGATAAAGCCATATATGGCCACTCTTTAATCGAGTATCCGACAGCCAGCCTTATTATTATTATTATTATTATTATTATTACTTGGTGGTATTACACCACTATAGTTGTACTATACCAGTAGTTAGTATAGTATCGTAGTAGACAGTAGTAATACGTAGTAGCAGCTCTACTGTAACAGGGCCACCGTTATTGCGTATATTATCGGTAATAATTGTGGGATATACCCCCTGGATTTACCCCGTTGAATATCAACGCTTACATTTTACACGTATAACAAATTTTAAAAAACGTACCTTATACAGGCCAATATGTCGCGTATTTTATTTTATTAATTAATTTGAGATTCATTTGCGTTCATTATTGGAATCACGACAAACACAAACTAGATTTTATCACCTGCTGGGAAACAGTTTTTATGAGCTCGGTAGGTATTCAAAACAAGCAGTGACCCTTTTTAAGTCCGGTATTGGAGTTATTGAATCCGTGCTGGCTTCCGAATTTGTTAAGATGAAAATTATTCAATTTGAACATAAACATTTTTTAACCTTTTCCATAATTTATAGGACAATTCAACTAGGTATATTATACCTTATACATTTTCATATTTAATACATTTGAAACGTAACTATACTAACTACTACTTACGTACATATAATAATGATACATTTATATTTTGAAATGCTGAGCAGGTACTTAAAGATCTTGATTAGGTGATTAATTAATTTTTTATCTCCTTGAACACCAGACCGCATATTGATTTGCAATTATAGAATAAAATATACTTTATTCTATTTTGAATAGTACCTATCATAAATATTTTGATTTTGATTTGATTATAAGTTTTGATTTTTTTCTTACGAACTTAAAACTTATTTTTATTCTTTTCTCAAATAATAAAATAATAATTACGATAAAATACTTTGAACGTATATTTATTATTTACTTTTAAAAGTTTTTACGGATATTAATATGTTACATTCTAAAACCAATAACTTTTTCATTAGGTTGAGAATAGAAAAAATGAATTTACCTTCTTATATTTCTATAGAAATATATTGAATAGTATGAAACGGTAGTGGATACGATGACGAAGCGATTGGCCACTCGTTTTGGCAATGCATTTTTTACATAGTTCAAATATACTCTAATTGTTTTTAAAGTTTTATCATTATTACTAGTTAAACATAGGTATATTTTTTAGTATAATTAAAATCTATTGTAACTGATAGTTAAAACCGTTTTTTGAAAATCCCTCCCCACCTAAATTGAAGTATTGAACAACTCCTGGCTCCGCAAATGGTTCGAAGCAAGTAGCTAGTATTAGCATACCTATAAATTCCTTCCCGCGGCCCAGCGATACCACAGAAAAAGGTAGGTACTATATTTGGGTACCTATAGAAGCTTAAAAATATGTTTGAAACATTGCCTCATTGTGTTTTTTTGAAATCGATCTTCCAATTTTCGACGAACTTGAACATAAACTTATCCAACAGAAACATTTTTCATTTACCAATCAACTACTCGACAACAATTTAAAAAAATAATACAATTTACAATTATAAATGCTATACCATTCCCGAATAAACGTAATGGAACATTCAAATTAGGTTTCAAAATCTTCGTCCTGATGTTTTTGGATGTGTTAGCGTGTTAGCGTGTTACAGAATTATAAAATGATTAGTCTATTTATGGGTGAAATAATGTGAGTTCATGTGTGGCCTGCCAACTGCATGGTACTCTGTTAAATGTGCAGTTGATATATTATCGTGAGTACGAGTGTTGCAGTGATAAAAGGGGAATCGGAGACACTGAAATGATAATTATTTACTTCACCCGTACACAGTTTTTTGATATTGCCTATGTTTAACTCCTCGTAAGTACAAATCGCCTTTTGATCTGTGCGATCAGTCATAAAATACTAAACAATTCATAAATCATCCAACATGTTACGTTTTAAGTGATTTTTATTTTTTATAATAATATTAATGCGTAATATTGGTGAAATAAATTGGGAGAAACGTAATGAATACGTCATATTCTATTCGTATTATAATATGATTTTTGTTTTCAATATGCATATCATATATGACTTTTTGTCTAAGTCATCGACAATATTTGTGTTCAGAACCGCGGGTTAAATATTAGGCGTGCCTGCTCACAGAGTATTTAAACATTACGTATCGGTTCAAGAGCTGCGCTCATCTGAAACCTTTTGATACCAGCACAGTGTCTCCATCAAAACGATATTATGTTGCAGACAATGTCATTGGGTTCCATCGTCCTATTAACTGCTGTTTGGTTAGCAATGTCCAAGGTATTGACCTGCGAATCGCTCCGTAACAGCGGCAGTCACCGGGGCCGTCATAAATACAAGCGAAGGCAATTATATTCCGGAGGAAATAACGGTGACGTGCACCTCCACCGAGACGACTCGCCACTGCAACATGATCCGTCATTATTACTGATGGATGAAGATAACGAAGCAGCGACTGCCGACGCTACGTTTGAGTTGGACAAACCACGTGAGTGTATATTTCATACTATAATTTATAGAACAAAAAAGTTTTATTTTTTTATTATTGAAATTGATGTCTTTCATCCGGTTACCGGTAGGTATAGAGATATTTCATTTTTTTTTTTTTTTGCAAACATTTTAAATTCTAAGTGCAGCGATGGATGTATTGGTTCTATAACGACGAGTGTTTTTTTTATCATTATTTATGTGTCTGTCATCGCGTTTTGAAAATATTTAATAATGCTTAGGTCTTAAACTTTGGGGGTGGTTTCTAGTAGTAAATTGGTTCTAGTTGGTTTTTTGAAAGGTCAAAAACTCAAAAGTAGAAAATTCCCATGACTTTCGGAGGAAAACTTTTACTAATCAGGAAAAAACTAAAATAAATTTATTACGGATAAACGGGAATGTTTAGAATCGATTTTGTTTTTTGTTGTAATTCAAAAAAACCAATATCGTTAGGTACTTGAAACTTTCACTAAATAATAAATACATTATGAGCATTTTCTAGGTATAATATAATATTTAAAAAAATGTTGGCTCTTTTTGAATATTTATAGACATTTGAAATGGTCGACTGTTAATGTCACGTCACTTGATTAATATATATTTTTTTCATAAGTATATAACTATACGATTCTGTTTATTTTAATAATTTAAAAGTGACTTTCCTTCAAACTTTCACTAAATATATTATAAGCATTTTCTAGGTATAATACTATACAAAGCGGGTAAGAGGCCTTTAACGTTCTGCTGTACAACAGGTGTCTAGAGGGAAGTAACTCTACTTAAATTGTAATGGATGTGTAAATTTGAATTCAATGATATGGCATAATTGTATACAAAAAACGATTCTGAGCGTAGACGATCTGTCAGCCTAAATATTACAAAGTATGATTTATGATAGGTATAATTTTGATTTAAGTACTCTATTTTACTATATGGCATTACTGCAGTAGATTATATTCATTTTAGAAGTTTTAAGTACCCACAAATAATATTTTTAAATTTCAACAAAATAGGTAACTAAAATCGTTATTCTTCGTTTAAATATGTAATTTCATCCAAATGTGAACTTAAAATGTCTGTAAAAAAGAACGGTGCTTATAGTTTTTTTTAGATTTTTTGGTTACAGTATGAACTGTCTATGAAAATCCATAAGAATTGAACATTTTATAATTTTATACCTAAAAATATTTTTCAAATTTTCGAGATTTTTTGATAAATTTTGATAAATTTTGAATTTTAAATATTTATAAAAAAATGTGTGCCCATATATCTTTAATATTTTTAATATTAAATTTAAATTTGGTATAATAACAATTTACGAGGAAATCGTGTAGATGAATAATCGTTATTTTACGTGTGAATTATCCAATGTCGTAAAAATTTTAACATCAAACCCTCATAACAAATTAATGTGAATTTCCGGGAAACTTTTATTTTGTTATAAGTAGAGAATCTTGTATTACATTTTCATAACTTCGATATAAAAAGAAAAATGTTTATACTTTTCTAACTAGGTACAAAAGTATTTGCTAATGTTAACGATTTTTACTATGTTTGTCAACATTCTAAGATTAAACGCTTATAAAAAAAAATATTGTAAATGTGTAATATTGATAATTTTTATTCGTGCTTATGGATCTTTAATATTTTTTAATTTATATCATAAAAACTTATGAGTAACTTAGTATTAAGTTTCTAGCATTTCGACATAACGAGTAATTTTTAATGACATTTTAAAAAAAAATTCCGAATTTTCTTGATTTTTATGAATTTTTTAAAAACTTTAACTTCAGACGCTCCTGAAAAATTATTGTTTATTAACCCTTCTTTATTTTTTAATTTCCACTAACTCACTTAATTAATGAGGAACCATGTATTAAATTTTCAAGATTAATGACAGACCGAATTTTTTACTTTTTACCTCTTGAAGTACCAACTAAATTCACTTTCCTCCCAGAAAAGCTGCTGAAGTAGAAAACCAAGGCATTTATACATATACTGCCCCGATGGGTGATTTGGGATAGAAAAAAATACACATCATTGTAAAATCCATATATTCATCAAGCTCGGAATCTAAAATGTTGTCTCTTTTTGAGTATTTATAGACATTTGACATTGTCAACTGTTATGTCCCTTGATGACATATTCAATATATTCATATTTTTACATCTGTTTAACAGCTACGGTATTCTGTTTATTTTAATAATTTAAAAATGTATTATAAAATTCTACTATAGACCATAAGTACAGAATGGTTATTTATCATTATTCATTAGGCACCGAAGCTTAATAGTATTAACCGAAAATAAGTAATTTTTTTCAGATTAAATACCTTTACTATAATGGCTATATAATATACTACTCAACTACTGATGAAATAATTTTAAGTAGTTTTTAGATTTTGGAAGAAATGAAGGAACTATAAAAAAAAATTGAGTAAGAAAGTCATACCAATGTTGTGTCGATAAATTAATTGTTATAGTGACACTATGAAAGCCAACAAAATAATCATGAAATAAATTATTATATGTATTGCATTTACTATGTATACATATTTACATTATCTATTAGTTAGTTATATCATGGATGCCGACGAGCAGTTGTACATTTTACCTTGAGATAATATATTTTTGGTATGGCTAATATGGAATAGTTAGGGTCTAAAATGTCTCGGCATCTTCATCAGTATCTCGATAAGTCCAAGAAATATAATTTGATAATCACGTGGAGTCATTTGATCATTTATTTATAATCTATTTATTTTATAACTTTTCTGTGATATCTTCCGTTTTTGCCATACCTATTTGTTTAAAAGTGAGATTTTGAGTGTTTAATATTGTTTAAAATATTAAATAATTGAAAAGGACAGATTTATTTAATAAAATGTGCCCATTTAATTTAAATTTCATTATTATTAAGAGTTAAAAAAAAACGTGTTGAATTGAATTGATATTTACTAATCATAATGCTAAATGTTTGTTTGTTTATTTGTTTTTTTTTTTATAAATATTACCTAAAAAAACAAAACTTAAACAGTATATTAAGTGCTTTTAGATTTAGAGCGGAACGATAAATGTATTGATTGTACAATGTACAATGATGTTTTTTTTATTAAAAAAAATATTGTTGTGTCTGTCGCCTTTTGGAGCAGTAAAAATTCTTTTCTCTCAATTTGACTACAATATCATATTTTTTTGTATGAAAGTAAAATATCTATTTTTACTATACGCAATTACATTTTTAAATATTTAGATACATTTTAAGCTAATGCCTAGTTAGACCACTAATATATTCACACCGATCCACGGTAAGTCCGTAATGACTAAAAACTAAAATGTTTTTAGTAATAATATAATATGATGTAATTTTGTAGGTAATATTATAATAATTATTAATACATACAACAAAAGTGCAGGTTCTCGCCAAAAGTTAATTCAACCAACCGTATTACTAAAAATGGTAAAATGAATAGGTAGGTACTATACAAAAGTAATATGAATGCATAATAAATTAATATACTTAATAATAAAGGTGACGACCGTCTCCGCTCATTATCGTTCTTCGTACATAGAATGATTTATCATTGAATTCGAATTTAACACATGCATATTACAGTGACCTACTCAATAATGAGGTACACTCGACTCCAGCTGTATAGCAGAGTGGTTTCCTACTTGACCACTTTTTTCGAGTTGAAAATATATAGGCAGGTAGCGAAAAAAAACTTGAATATTTCAATGAAAAATACTATTGCATAGGCATAATATTATAGCCAAATTATGCGTAAACTATAATTCGTTACCTCAGTTATCTGTATGATTCCCAGTAGGTTAAGTTAGGTTACTAGGTGTAAGGCATCTACTTCCTACACGTTTTAAGGAATTTCCGTTTAATTTTGTAGCCCATCACTAATCACAGGTAACGTAAATTTATTGTAAAAGTGAAATGTTGATAAGTTAGTTTTAAAGAAGTGCTAAGGAAACAACGTCAAGTTTTTTGAGTTAAGAACTCCGATTTTGGAGAATGACGTTGTTAGTACATTGTTTGAAATAATGTTGACTCATTAATGGAGCGCCTGGGCCAGATATTGTGTGAAATTTAAATTTGTTGTGTTAATAAATGTCAAGCAATAATTTGAAAAAGATTACGTAGGAGCTTGGTTAAAAGTTAAAATCACGCCTTTACTTATTTTTAATTGTCTTAATTTCATTGTAGTTTTTCTTTAAGCGTATGGAAATAACAGGGTACATCGAATTACGATCTTTTCAAAGTACCACCTGAAATTGATTATAAGCTGATGGATAATGTTACTTCAAACTGTTGGCGCATTTTCCCTATCAGAAAATGTGTTGACAGAAGAAAACGTACAAGACACCGTTTTAATATTCAGTCCTACAGTGCACTCAAATATTGTCAAATATTTAAATGTTAGTAGCGTGATCTAAACATATTTTTACTAATTAATTTACGATTCTACCGCAATTAATTTTTACTGATTTATTAGTATCTAATTCATTCCGAATCGTCTTTAAAACCCCGTTTATTAAAATATTCATCGATACGTATATTTAAACTAATGATAAGTTTATATTTTATCTCATGTAATTAACTTTTCTCAATTATTTATTTTCATTAGAATAGTATTGTTTTTATTTTGTGGTTGAAATGATAGTACTTAACATTTTAATTTCATTAATGTCTTGGTTAAAATTATTATTTTTTTATCAATCGTTATATCAACTGGATAAATATTGTGGACATTATATTCTATTAAAAAAAAAATAAATCTAGATTCACTTCAACAATCCTAGTTTACATTTGTTGGCACATGTGTAGGTACACTAGATACTGTCTAGCTGATTAGGTTATAAACGTATAACTGACAGGTCAAAACATTCAAAAATATCGTTTAACATTGATCACCGACAAACTGTTAAAATAAAATATCACGATTCAAAATAAATCGAGAGTTTCATATTGTATTCTTAAATAAAAGTCACACTGTAACAAGCTTTTGTCCTAGCCACATTAAGGTATTTTTGATGAAATTAATATTTTGCTATAAGAGTGTAATCTTATATTTAAATATGTGTGTGCAATTAGGTTAGCTGATTTAATTTTGT